AATAATAATAATAATAATCACAATAATTATAATAATATAATTCCAACAAAATAATAAAATTTTTCAATAATAATAAAATTCCAATAAATTATTACAATTTTCCGTCAATAATAAACTTTTAATAGAATAATAGAATTTTTTATTATTAATAAAATTTTGAATTATCTAATAATAATTTAAAAAATCAATGGAAATTCTATTAGTAGTAAAATTTCAATGGGATAATAAAATTTAAATAGATTAGTGGAGTTTTCTATTACAAATAGAATTTGAATTAGAAAAATTTCAATGAATCAATATAATTCTAATAGATTAATTGGATTAATAGAATTTTAATGGATAAGCGGAATCATTTATCAATAATGAAAAAATTGAATTTTCTATTGAAAACAAAATTCTAATAGATTAATGGAATTTTCTATTAACAATTAAATATCATTAGAATAATGGATTATTAAATTTCAATGGATAAGTGATACTTTTTTTTCAATAATGAAATTTTACTGAAATAATAGAATTTTCTATTAATAATGGAGTCTTAATAAATTAATAACATTATTTATTTATCATAGATACTTGATAAAGTAATGCTATTTTCTATTAATAATAAAAAATTCAATGGATTAATAGATTAATGGAATTTAATTAATAGATTATTAATGCATTTTGTAATTTTTATAGGTTAATAAAATTTCAATAGATCAATAGAAATTTCTATTATTAATAGAATTTCAATGGATTTATAGAATTCCAATGGGTTAGTGTAATATTCTATTAATAATCGAATTTTGATTAATTAAAAACAATGGAACTTTAATGGATGAACAAAAAATTTAATTCGAATAATGGATTTTAAATGGAACAGTTTAATTTTGATAATTTAATAGAATATTAATAGAACAATAGAAATTACTATTATTAATGGAATTTTAATAGATTAATAAAATTTTTAATTAAAAATATTAATAGATTAAACCGACTTTCTATTAATAATAGAATTTTAATGGAGTAATGGAATTTTCCATTAATAATAAAATATTTATAGACCAATGGAATTATCTATTAATGATATTAATGGATTATGCCAACTTTCCATTAATAATAGAATTTTAATGGAACAATGGAATTTTCCATTAATAATAGATTTTTAATGAAATAATGGAATTTTTCATTAATAATAGAATATTTATAGACTAATGGAATTTTTAATTAAGAATATTAATGGATTAAGCCGACTTTCTATTATTAATAAAATTTTAATAGAATAATGAAATTTTCCATTAATAATGGATTTTTAATGGAATAATGGAATTTTCGATTAATAATAGAATTTTAATGGAATAATGGAATTTTCCGTTAATAGTAGAACATTTATAGACCAATGGAATTATCTATTAATGATATTAATGGATTAAGTCAACTTTTCATTAATAATAGAATTTTAATGGAATTTTCCATTAATAATAGAATTTTATAGACTAATGGAATTTTTAATTAAGAATATTAATGAATTAAGCCGACTTTTTATTATTAATAAAATTTTAATAGAATAATGAAATTTTCCATTAATAATGGATTTTTAATGGAATAATCGAATTTTCAAATAAAAATAGAATTTTAATGGAAGAATGGCATTTTCCATTAATAGTAGAATATTTATAGACCAATGGAATTACCTTTCAATGATATTAATGGATTAAGTCAACTTTCTATTACTAATAGGATTTTTAATGGAATGATGAAATTTTCCATTAATAATAGATTTATAATGGAATAATGGAATTTTCGATCAATAATAGAATTTTAATGGAATTTTCTATTAATAATAGAATTTTAATGGAATAATGGAATTTTCCATTAATAATAGATTTTTAATGGAATAATGGAATTTCAATTGTTAAATGGAATTTTTTAATCGTAAAATATTTATTATTACTTAAGTTAAAAAATAAATTTATTTTTAATTACTTACCCAATAGTTATCGAGCTCATATTATCCAGTACAAAAAATATCAAAATAAAATTTTTAATAAAACCAAAACAACAAAAACGAATTTATTAATAATAATAAAATTAGAACTATGACTATGACTAGTACCGTAAAACTAAATCTATTTTAATCTACTATTAAAACAAAATCATGGACGATGTTAACACTCAAACGCGTCGCTCGTGACTGAGGCTACGAATAAATTAAATCCACGACTCGCGGTCTCAAGTCTCAATACTCTAAAATCTGACCGCTTAAAAAATATTAATTTCGAATCAACTTTTTCTTATAAATATTTTTGTTTAAAAATTATAAATTTTAAATAATATAATTTATTTAGACAGAAAATTTATTTATTTTTTTTTTTTTATTATTGTTCGGAATTTTTAAGAAGAAAATAGCATAAGTAAAAACAAAAAAAGAGTAAAACTAGAACTAAAAATAAAAATGAAAATGGAATGAAATAATAAGAGGTCGCAAAGGTACAGAGTTGGAAACGGTCTCGACCTACATTTAACTTGTGGTCTTTAGATAAACAACTGTCTGGGCACCTTGAACACCGATGACGTGTTTTCATGGGGTAAATATGGCGTTCTAATACGTAACTCATAGCATCGAATTTTTTTTCAATTTTTTAAAATATAAATAATTCAAGGAATTTTTTTTACTGTAACTTATTTAAAACAGTTCGTCTGATTAATTCGCGGGTAAGGACCTTTTTTGTAGGTAATTAAAATTTCTATGAAGTTCAATTTATTAAAAGAGGTATGCGATGATATTTTGCAATCAATTCATTTAATACCATTAATTATAATACATGTAGATTTTATCAATTAGAATACTAAGTGTTATTTACACTCTTAATACAATATATCTTGTAAACGCAGAGTCAATTTCATAAACATAACACATCAATTTTATTTTTACTTCAAAAGTTCTTGGACGTTCAAATACTACACGGAAAGAAAAGTTCACTTGAGCCAAGAAAATATTTTTTTTCCTAATTATTTTTTTGAGCGAAAAAAAAATTTTTTTTTTGACACATGAAATTTCACTTATTCCAAAAAAATTAATCTCCTTGTATTTTAGCCAGTTTTTTTTGCCGAACTATTACGAAAAAATCACGAAATAAATTCAGAGTATTTACGGCAATACAATAGGAAAGTTACGGTATATTAACAGCATTTAAACCGTAAATTTAAACCGTACTGTATATTTGTGGCACTATTGCAGCAAAAAACCGGAAAAGAAGATCTCTACTTTCTATAACCGGTAAAATACCAAAATTATGCTGTTTTACTACTATTATTCAATAGCTTAAAATTGTTTTTCATCCACAGATTCGGTAGAATCTGGCGCCAAGTTCCGTTCAAATCCGTTGTCAACGGAGCGCCAGACTACCGACTGTGTTTACTGTAAGCAGAACGGTATTTTGAGGTTGTTTTTAAGTCATAAGTAAGAAATTAGTTGTAAATTTTTTTAGGTATTAACTGGCGGTGGAGGAAATTTAAATTATATAATCTATAATTCAAACACAACCTTTTTATTCTAAATAAGAATAATTCTTCTTGAAAATATTTATTGTTTTTATTTATTAAAATATATAAATATTGATTACTAAAATAAAACAAAAAATTGCTTATTTAATGGGAAATTATTTATTTTTCTTTATAAAGTAATTTTTTTTTTTTTTTTTTTAATTCTATAAAACAATTCTATTTTAATTCTATTAAAAACAAACTGTTCTTTAACTTGTTTCAGTTTAAACTATTATTTATTTATACACCTTCTTAACATTTATCAATAATTACGTTCTTGTCATATGAATATTATAAAACAAACAATTATTTTTTATATATATGTAATTAGAATAACGTAAGAAGAAAAAATTATTTATTTAAATATAATTTGTTTAAACTTAGATTAAAGTTAAAAAAATATAGGAATATCATATATAATTAGTAAGTTCAAAAATATTAGAAAATTAAAAAAAAAAAGATGTTTTTGTTCGTTTAATATTGATAAATTTTGAGAAAGTGTATAGATGAATAATAGTTTAAGTTGAAACAAATAAAAAATAGTTTGATTTTAATATTTTATATAATTAACAAAAAATTACTTTATAAAGAATAATAAATAATTTCCCATTAAATAAGCGATTTTTTTTTTATTTTAGTAATCAATATTTATATATTTTAATAAATAAAAACAATAAATATTTTCAAGAATAATTATTCTTATTTAGAATAAAAAGGTTGTTTGAATTTAGATTATATAATTTAAATTTCCTTCACCGCCAGTTACCTAAAAAAATTTACCTTACTGACAACTAATTTCTTACTTATGACTTAGAAGACTTAAAAGAAAGATCATTTGTCGTTCTTTTGTAATGTTTCATGGGTTACAGTTTAATTTTTTTCATAAATATGATATTTAAATGTTTTAATGTGTGTATTTTATTATATAGAATTTACTATTATTTGACATATATTAAGTGTTATGTATGAAGTATTAAATGTATATAACTTGTTAGAGAGCAAGTTACTTTTTGAATTCCTTTACAATTATTACATTGGCTACATTTCCGTTCGGATCACTCAGATGACCCCAAATCTGAGTTACTCCCTAGTCGCGCCTAAAGGAGTTTTACTTAAAAAAATAGTCGGTTTTTTTGCGCCACCTTAATAACTATAGTAAAAAAAACTGACCAATATAACCACAGAAATATCGTATTATTTCAGAATTGTAACGGTAAATTTACGGTAATACAATTAAATTCTCGAAGGTTATAATTTTGTCCTGATAAAATTTCCGATTCCAATTCAAAATGCACAAAATTTTCTTGGGCCAAAGAAAAATTTCTCGAATGGAGAAATCCGTTATTTCTGTGTACAAAATTTTAAACCACACGGTGAAGGTAAATATACTCACAGATCAATAACAATAATCAGTACTAAAATTGAACAAAACTCATCTGGTAATTAGATAGCTAATTTTTCTTTTCTTTTGATCACTCGCGGCTATTTGACAGAACAATCCGACCCGGGAAAAAAATGATTCGTGGTTGTGCTCTCAATCTCTTAATGAACAGTAGTCGCGCTTTTTCCTGTCTTACATATTTAGAGTGACTGTGGTAGACAATAAGTTCAATTCCAAAAATGACCAAACTCCATAGCACGGTAGCCGCAATCACAATGAAATAAAACACCAAGTTATCAAAGTCGATCAGTTCATAGTTTTCAGCTTCTTTGATTTTCTGTATCTTCTCTATCTTTTCCCATCGGTTCTTCTCTATCTCTTCAGTATGATGGTAAATTAATCCTGTTTCCACCGGTATTGAACGTACTCTATCAATTTTGTCTTTCAGCGCCCAGTTCTTTCTTGTCCAAAACACGTAGTACTTTTTGAATACAATTTCTTTCGATAGATGAAGATTTTTAAGCTTTAACGCGAATAATAGTTGTGTCGCAGTGTTGTCGATGCAAGCGATGGTCGAATTTTGTTGGGCTTTCAGTGCACATTTTGCTAGCTCAGCTCCAGATGATGGATGCAAGTATTTCTGGTCCTCTTTAGTCGCCCACAGTTTTTCATTAATCATGTCTTTTTCCAATAATCCATCGAAAAACACATGATACTTATTGTCGAACAAGTCCTTTAGGGTTTCGACATTGCGTCTTGCAGGCTGGGATAGAATGGACGAGATTTGTCCTTGGAATTCGGGCATCACTATAAAAATAAACAAAAATCCGAAGAAATATATGATTCTCATCGAGAGACGTCCCATTGGAGATATTATTCCCATACTCAGTGACATGCTCACAATGTTCATGATTCCTTCGATCACGTTCAATTTATTGTTCATGACTATAATCACAGCAATCAATATCAGCACAAAGAGTGTGATGAAGATGAATTGAAAATTTATGGAGATTTCGGTGACTACCGTCAAATAATCTGTTTTTTTCGTCAGAATTGAATAGTGTGTTTCATGATACTCTGTCACAAAATCAGTAAAGTCAGGATTTGTATCAGCTAATTGAGTCCTGAAGCTATTCGCATCATACTGACGATTGTAAAGATCTCCATCGAAACCGTATTTAATAAAGTCGGAACCGAAATATTTTTTCAGAACATGAATTGACGCTTTTACTTTCATATAATCAGGTAATGAAGTCAATCCGTAGTCTTTGAACTTGTCAAAATATTTAAGAACTTCATTGATATTTTCCTGCTCATTCTGTTTACTTGAATTTAGTGAAATGGCACGAGCCAATAATTTTATTTGATGGTCATCTAAGTACTGAGTTTTATCGAAACAAATATTTTCATAGTTGTTCTTCAAGTCTGAAAATCAATTGAGAAACATAATTCAGCTTATACAATTGCATCGTAAATAATATTATGAAACTTCGATAATTACCTTTCGGATACTGCAGACTGTACATTGTCGCTTTTGTTTTAGGATTGTTATTCGCGTTCGCGGATTTAACTCGATTCCAAGGTGGCGGAGCATATTGTGTGTAAGGGTTTAGAGTGTAGACTATAGTTGAATCTCTTTTGTCATCATAACACACATAGTATGATTTCAAATTATCGAGGCTACCAAGAAAGTCAAGAACTCTACCAGCATTTCTATTATCATGCATCGCCTTAGAAATGTCGAGAATGAATATTGGTGACTTTATGTTCCAGATTGATGAGCGCATGAACCCAAGGATGAGTGATACCAGTTTGTACATAGATTCAAATCTGAGGATGTACGTGGAATAGCTGGGAAGATATCCTTCTATTTGCTTTCGTCTCTGATCACCATTTATGACGATCAGCGGACTTCCATTATCAATACTCCTCTTTGCAACTTGGTTATCAACTAAGTCGGAAAATATTACTACTGGATTAGAATTATTAGTAAAACATCTATCAATCAAATCTATCTGCAAGAATAATAAGCGATTTTAATAATGATGAACAGTTATTCAAATTAAAAACATTAAGACGATGGTTGACGCTAAAGGCCATCCGTGCCACTTCCCGCTCATTTTGTACTTAAGCGCTTAAAATTACACATTACGTTTATGAGCTCTTCAAGCTCAAAATATGATTTTTGTGTCATTTTAAGCTCTCTGAGCTCAAAACTCTAATAGTAGTTTAATAAAACACAACTTTTTGAATTTTCAGATCGCAATAACTTTTGAATGAATGAACTGATTTTTACGCGGTTGGCAGCATTCTACGCAGTTTTTTAAGCCTCATAAAGAATTTCTAAGTTTCAATTGGTCAAACTAGAAATTTCAGAGTAACTCCGAAAAAACACTTTTTTCGGTTTTCTTTCGTTCACGATATTTCTCGAACGAATAAACCAATTTTGACCGGATTGGCGGCGATCGACGTGGTTTTTCGAGGTTGAGAGCTGATTAGTTTTTGGAATCGATCGGTAAAGCCGTTTAAAAGTTATTGAAAAAAAACCACATTTCAAAAAAATTTTTTTTGTAGTTTTTATGAGATTTCTCAAAATCTACCGGTTCGAATCGGTCCAAAGTATATTCAAAATCTAAGTTTGGTTAAGCCCTTTCGAATGGCGCCAACCTCGAATAAATCGGTCAAGCCGTTTAAAAGTTGTAAGAGGGTTACTTATACACACACACACACACACACACACACACACACACACACACACACACACACGCACATACATGCATACATACGGACATCATCGCAAAAACATTCAGGGAAGCTTCCGTACGGACCTACGAACGTACAAGATCTGATGAGAACTCG